GGGAACCTTGGCTTCCTCCATCACTGGAGCAAGCAAATCTCCTGCTCGCTTCAGCTGCGTGGCTGCTGGCCGCCATCTTTGTTGGCAGTTAATTTGCATATCGCCCTGATTAGCCAATGGGAAGTGTAGCGGAGGTATGGTTAATTACCCTTTTTGTCTTTTATTAGATAGGATTATTGACTATATTCCCTAGGCCATACTTTAAATCTCCATGACTATTCTGTAACAACCAATTTGTATGCAGAACATTTACAAAAATTGGGCTAGACTCAGAGGAAGGAGGAGTGAAATTTGGTGGAAGAAAGTAGCAATGATTTGAAATGACCAGATAGCATTAAGGACCTCTGAATATAGTAACTGCAGTTGTGCCCTTTATAACTCATGTATATTGTTGTCATATCTTTTAATTCTTCTGTTATTTAATCCCAACAAAATATTTTATTATTGTTTCATAATGTCAATATACATTTATATTTTCTATGTATTTATTATTTTTGTTGCTCTTAAGTTTTCCCTGCTCTAAATAGAATCGTTTTCTTTGTCCGGAAAACATCCTTTAGTTATTCTCTTTGGTGTGGCTGTTTTGGTAATGCATTGTCTCAGGTTTTGTTTGTCTGAAAATATCTTCACACTTGAATGATAATTTCACTAGTTATAAAACTAGATTGATTTATTTTCTTTCACACTTTGAAGGTATTCTATTTATAGTGTCTTTCATTGTTTTTGCTGCAAGCTCAGTTATTTGTGGACTTGTTGCTCTGTTGTTTTTTCCTCTGAATATTTTTAAGATTTATTTTCAGTGTTTCAAGGTTTGAACAGTTTTTTATGAAGCACCTAAACTTTTGGATTTAAAAATTTTTATTTATATTTTTGGCCTGATGTTCTTAGTGGATATGGGCTATATGACTTGATTTTTATTTTATTTATTTTTTGGTCACATTTTTAAAGTTTTCAGCTTTTATCTTTTCAAATACTTCAGTTTTTCTATTACTTGGGATTCAGAGTATAAATATCTACACTCATACTAAAAATTCTATTTTCCTATAGCTTTGCTAATTCTCTCTTTTTTTAGGTTTTATAATTTATTTTTCTAAAGTAATAGTAACTTCTTTTCCCCCATCTGAGTAGCTCATACTTTCCCTTAAATCTCTAAAACACCCTGCCAATATTGTTTTTGCTATTTTCACATATTTTTACAGTTATTCAAAGAGGTTAACTAACTGGCCCAAATTCACATAGCTGCCAAGCAACTAAAGTACAATTGATTATTTCTTGCTCTTCATTATATGAAGTTATATTTCTTTTTTTCTATGTCTATCTTTTTCACTTGGTTTTTAGAATGGTATGTATATTGATGAATTATCTTAGTTTATCTTAAAATACCATTGTGTCATTTCACCTATATTGATTGGATAAACAAGTACACAAATTTATGAGCTAAATATTATCCCAGTGAGTTTACATTTTACAAGGAAAAAAGAATATATGCAGTTTGTCCTAATAGAACAATTCGTTTTCATGGATCAAAGCAAATAAGAAAATAATGTCCCAACTGACGAGATCAAGAAATAATTCATTGAGTGGGTAGAACTTATCATGGAGGAGAGGCAATGTGAGAATTCCTTTACTGTTTTCAAGGATAACATGCATATTATCCTTGTTAATACAAATAAAACCAATGCGTGTTTGTTACTAAGTAGGTAGGTAGTTATGTAAGCAGTAAAATATTGTCCATCATGATACATTATACACATTGATTGAAAAAGGTGTTTTTTCTCCAGGTTATTTCATTTTTGGCTGCCATTTTGCATAAAAAGGGAACTCGTGAGGATATTGAAAATAATATGCCAGAGTTTTTACTAAGAAGTCTGAAAAAGGAACCCCCTTCTTCTATAGCAAGAAAGGTAAGATACCTAGGAGTATACAACTCATGAGTCTGATATTACAAAAGCACAAAGAAACTTTAAAACAAGACTTTTAAAACATTATTAGAATATTTGTTTTGTAAACCTAATTTTTGAAGGATTAGCAGTTTTATTCTCAAGTTAAATATGATTAACTCTCAAAATGGCAAAATATAATTTCAGCTTGAACTTGTTTTAGGGTTTCAATCTTTTGCTTGGCTAGATTTATATGATTTAGTTTGATTAATTTGTTAAATATTCATGAATGTGCATGCAAAGTTAGTTGAAGTTCATGTACTGTTTGTATTTATGTGAGAATGAAAATGATACAGTTGTAGATATTGGTAGCAAAGGGGTGTCATTGATATTTAAAATTGCTTAGAAGACTACAATCCCAAAATATGAAATGAATTCTTCTTATACAAGGGACATTGAAGGTGGAATCAGAAAGACTAAGGTCTAGGCTGGTCTCTGTCTCTCTGACCATGGGACTATGAGTACTATTCATGTCCATGTGTCAGCTTTCTCCTTTGTAGATGTATGTTTTTAAATATCTTACACATGATTTTATAAAAAAATATTTCTAACAAAGTAATGAAATGCAAAAAAAGAGTATACTATATTTATGTGTCTGACTTATATATTTCTCAGCATCCAGGAAACTGGATAGAGATGAAGAGAGTGGTTTTATGAAGTCTTTATTATATTATGATAATGAACGACTTTCCACAAGTTTTAAAAGATTCTTTTAAAAGGGACCTGATGCACGAAATACATGCAAGAGTAGGCCTTCCTTCCTCCAGCTGCCGGTACCGGTTTCCCTCTGGCACCTGGGACCCAGGCTTCCCTCGCAGCCCTGGCTTCGTCCAGAAGGTCATCCGGAAGGACATCTGGTCTAATTAGCATATTATGCTTTTATTATTATAGATTGCTGAAAAGTCCAGGTTTACTTTTGTGTATCATTAGGGACTTTTCAGTGCAAACTTTTGCAAAGTATTGGCTTAAGGTAATTATTATTACTTTAAATTCTCTTTATTATATTTAATAGCATAAATGGATCCTGAGCATCAAATTAAATTTGATCCTAAAAGAACATTATGGTTCTTAATGTGTTTTAATTCTCCAAGAGTCCAGGTGCTGTTTTTAGCCCTGGATTCAGTTGTTCTTCGGTTCTAAATGTCGGTGACGAACTTACATGTCTCTTATGTATCGCTTGTGACATTTAGCAGACAGTGGGGAGAGAAAAACTAGGGAAAGCAATACTTTAAATATTTTAAAATATCTTAGAACAAGAATGGGAGAAGAGAGAAGTAAAGAAAGATCCATTTGGTGGTGTGGTGAAATATACTAGTAGCCACCTTAATTGACACTAATGGTTGCCTTTCACCCCTACCTTCTTCCCCCTCCCTCCTTTTCTCTCTCTTTCTTTCTTTCTCTCTCTCTCTCTCTCTCTCTCTCTCTCTCTCTCTTTCTCTCTCTCTCTCTCCTTTCTCTCCCCCATAATCTTCACTGTTTTTTACAGTGAGAAGTTATGGGAATTCTTTTCCTGGACTGGGGAACCTGGTGTGGGGGTGGGACCCCTTGCTCCTCAGGGGGAACCTCCTCAACCCAGATATCCCTACTGATTTTTAACATGCACACGTGGGTGTGGGACCAACCTGTTCAGCATCTGCCCTTCCTACCAACTGGTTTCTTCAGTATATCCTTAGGTGTAGGACTTCTGTTCACCTAGACTTTAGGTAGTTCTCGATGATGGTTATTCTGTAGCTTAGTTGTAACTGTGATGTGGTTGTGGGAGGATTCGAGCACAGCGTCTACCTCCTCTGCCATCTTGACTGGAATTTCCAAGGTTTTCCTCCAATTGCTTTGATTTTTCCAGTAAATTTTCCAGATCTTCAACTGACAGTACCTGAAAGAGGAGGAGAGGAAATGGACTAGGGAAATGAAGTCCTCCTTGAAGTTGTTACTGGAATTCTGATCATACCTCTTTCTGTTTTGTAAAATTACTTCTCTCTTATCAACTCCTTTTTTGGTGGGGAAATAAAAAATAGCTGGGTTTTTTTGGATAGGGTTAACTATCTATTTAGTCCTAATAAAAACTAATGAAATAGTAAAGTGTTTTTATTGTGTGTGTGGTCTTCTACCTCCAGATATATCCAATTTCTCAGTTGTATTTATTATTATTAACTACAGTGTCAAAAATAAAAAAAAAATAAGGCTATTGATAATCTGGATTTCACTTTGAGGTTCTTTTTCATTTTGAGGAAATAAGAAATTTTTAGAAAATCAAATTTTTTCTTCTTCTTTTAGATGTTCTTAATAGTTGCTCCTCTTTCTGTCCTCTACAACTGGAGGGATGAATTGGACACCTGGGGATATTTCAGAGTCACTATTTTACATGGTAACAAAAAAGACAATGAGCTGATTCGCGTAAAGCAGAGGAAGTGTGAAATCGCTCTAACAACTTATGAAACACTGCGCTTATGTCTGGAGGAGCTTAACAGGTAATGGCAATAATGGGAATGATTGTATTGTTCTGCTTACCTCAATTGTATTTGTACCTTTATATTATAATTTTTTAAAAAGCTGTAAATATTCTTTAGCATGATTTATTTTCATTTCAGTATCATTGATATTGGCAGTCTATAATAATTATTTTCTAAAAAGGAAAACGCTGCATCAGATTTTCCACAGTTTCTTATTCTATTTCCTCTATAACTTCTCCAAAAGTATCTGCTAAAGAATGTTAAGACTTGTACTAAATCTTATATACAACCTTTTATGCATGTGGTGCCTCAGTACTAAGACAGTCATTTTCATGAATTATTTTAATTAGGTGAATCTGTTGTGTGAATGAATAGCAAAAATTACATACACATATTGAGAACCACTGCTCCAGTTTCCTATATCCTTGTCAACACTTGATATTGTCCGTCTTTTTAAATTATAGCCATTCAAATGGGTTTGTAGTGGTATCTTATGGTTGTAATTTGAACTTCTCTAATGACTAGTGATGTTGAGAACTTCTATGTGCTTATTTGTCATCTGTATATCTTTGTTGGTAAAATATCTAATAAAATTGTTACCCAGCTTTTATTTTATTTTTTATTTTTTAATTTTTTAAATATATTTTATTGAGTTTTTTACAGAGAGGAAGGGAGAGGGACAGAGAGTTAGAAACACCGATGAGAGAGAAACATCGATCAGCTGCCTCCTGCACACCCTCCACTGGGATGTGCCCGCAACCAAGGTACATGCCCTTGGCCGGAATCAAACCTGGGACCCTTGAGTCCGCAGGCCGATGTTCTATCCACTGAGCCAAACCAGTTAGGGCGTTACCCAGCTTTTAAAATTGGATTGTTTTAGCCTTGTTGAGTTGTAACAGTTTTTTATACTTTCTGTGTACAGGTTCTTTACTAGGTTATGATATGCAACTACTTTCTCCTAATCTGCAGCATGTCCTGTCATTTTCCTAATGGTGTCTATAGACCAAGAGCAAAGTTTTTAACTTTGATGAAGTCCAACTTATCAATTTTTTTGGTGTTCATATCTGAGAAATGTATCAACTCAGAGTCACAAGATTTTTTTCTTACATTTTATAATTTTAGCTCTTATGCTTAGTTCTATTATCTATTTCGAGTTAGTTTTTGTGTATGTGAGATGTGGGGATGCAAAAGATATCTTTCCTCCCACCTTCTAAGTTCTTCTATCTGGACTAATAATCAAATTGATATGCGACAGATTAACAAGAGAAAATGTCCAAAATTTATTATGGATATACATTTGTGGGTGCCATAGATAGGAGATTTGAAGACTCGTTGGGCAGTTGAGGTTTATATGCCATTTTGCACAAAGGAGGAGGGCAGGGGGCTGGGATTTCAGAGGGAAAGTAGGTAATTTACAGGGAGACAAGAAATAGCAAATTTGGTAAACAAATGTTGTCTGGGCCACACAATGGACACAGGGGAATTTGGCAAACAGAGTTTTGTTGGATCCTCCCTGGTTGTCATATCTGCTCTGTGTGTGCTAAGATGATTATGCTAAAGTGAATATGCTAAGAAGATTCCCTTCTTGAAGTGGTTTTTCTATCTGAATTCCTTTAGGCAGGAAAGGGGAGGGTCATGTGTTCTTCTAAATATTTTGTTTCTTAATAATCAGTTTAAAATCAATATCCCAAAGGCATACTTTAGGTGGCAAAACTTTGGTTCCCCTCAGAGGTAAAAGCCCAAATTATTTTTCTTCCATAGAACTTCCTGGGTTTTACTTATTCAGTGTTTTATACTCCGTCATAGCCATTCTTAATGATGTTCACATTTCCGATTAGCCTGGATCCTTGGGAGATGTCTTTGGACATCTGTGCTTTCTGGTTCTTCATTATTTCCCCTACTGCACACTTGAAATCAACTGTTTCTCCGGGGTTCTGGTTCCTTTTAGTGGATTGACTGCTATAGGTGCGCATTGCTGCTGGGTAACAATTGATTCTAAACCTTTTTAGCAGATAAAGCTATATAATACAACTTTTAAAGTCATGAGTTTATATTGATTTTTTCATTCAGATTTAACATTATCAGTATTGCTTTCTATATTTTATATTTATTTCTCTTGTTTATTACTTTAAAATTTCATTTTGTCATTTTAGTGATGTGAAAATGAGTGTTTTTTTTATTCCACCATCATTACATAGAATCTCTATACCTTTTTGCCTCCATATGCACTTTATTTTCATGGGCTGTCCAAACCTGTGACCATTTAACTAACTAGGTGAGATTGTTATGGGATCATCAAAGAGTAAAGAGGGGAAAAATTCCAAAATTTTGATAGAGAAAGCTGCTTTTTAAAAATTATATAAGCTAAGCAAAGGACATTTTCCCCTACCCCCCCCCCTTTTTTTTTCACTTAATAGTTTGGAATGGTCAGCTGTTATTGTGGATGAAGCTCATAGAATCAAGAATCCAAAGGCTAGAGTAACAGAAGTTATGAAAGCTTTAAAGTGTAATGTTCGCATTGGCCTCACTGGAACCATTCTTCAGAACAACATGAAAGAACTGTGGTGTGTTACGGACTGGTGAGTGAAAACACTTTATGTTTTGGAAAATTATTTAATACTTCTTACCTTAATGTTATCTTGTTTGCAAATTATTAACTTCTGGGGGGAAAAAATCACAATTATTTGTTTACAGAAGTATTTGATCCCAAACATAGTATATAGAATAGAGTCCCATGAAAACCTATCTTTATATATTATTCTTGTTTCCTGAAATAAATGTCTGAACTAATTTACCAATTTATCACCATCTTACAGTTATTTGCTGAAAAACTCATAAAGACTGTTACTTGCCTTTTGTCATTGCTGTCATTACAAAAAAGTGACTTAGTCTATTTCTTAGAAGCAAAAATAAGCCAATGTCTTTCCTTTTAGATAATTTAATAAAGCACTGATATTTTTCTTATTGCCTTTACGAAGGGCTGTGCCAGGACTTTTAGGTAGCAGGATCCACTTCAAGAAGCAGTTTTCTGACCCAGTAGAACATGGTCAGAGACACACAGCAACAAAAAGAGAACTAGCTACTGGCCGAAAGGCCATGCAACGGCTTGCAAAAAAGATGTCTGGATGGTTTCTCAGGCGTACCAAGACTCTAATCAAGAATCAGTTGCCTAAGAAGGAAGACCGGGTGAGAACTGCATTTGAATATATTATTAATTTCTAATTGTGTGTGTGCTTTTTAAAAATAATTTATTGTCTAAAGTCTTACATGAGTGTTTTTTTTATTTTTTTATTTTTTTTAAAATATATTTTATTGATTTTTTACAGAGAGGAAGGGAGAGAGATAGAGAGTTAGAAACATCGATGAGAGAGAAACATCGATCAGCTGCCTCTTGCACATCTCCTACTGGGGATGTACCTGCACCCAAGGTACATGCCCTTGACCGGAATCAAACCTGGGACCTTTCAGTCCGCAGGCCGACGCTCTATCCACTGAGCCAAACCGGTTTCGGCTGAGTGTTTTTTTAAAAAAATTATTTTTAAGAGGAAATCTATTATAATTTTTAATGTAATTTTTGCTTTTTATACAGTGTGAAAAAAAATTGCTTTATGTAGAGTTTTAGAAAACATTAATTGAGCCCAATCATTTTCCTTACTAACTTTACTAACCTGTCAGCTAACAGGTGTATTATTAGTGTACATTGAACTGATTTCTCTTATTTAGAACAAAAATACTTTTTATATAATTCTTCCTCAATGAAGAAAGAAGAGCTTCTCTCCCTAATGTGTTTTCTGTTCATATTTTGTAATTCCTACATTGTCTACTATCTATAATTCAGTATATTCTTGGGTACCTTAACTCTAGCTACAAGACCAAAATGGTTAAAAACTTTTTGTTATTTTACATTTGTTTATTATAAAATGCTATTTTTAGTGATACAACTAACCGAATTTTACAACTTTGTAGAAAAAGTACAATTATATTAATTGTTTAAGAAAATTTGAGGAGTTAACTTTAAGAGGATTTTTTTTAATATAGTAGCTGCCGCAAACAACCACTTCAAAAATACAACTAAAAGACGGGACAATGCAGTTTTAAGAAAATTTGAGGAGTTAACTTTAAGAGGATTTTTTTTAATATAGTAGTTCTCTTTTATGGTTTTTAATTGTGTGGATCTTCTAGCTCAGACAATGCAGTAAAGGTTCTATAAATTGCTATGAACTAAATCTAACTAATGTTGTCTCAAATAAGGGCAATTCTAACAAATACCCTTTAGTCTTAAGATATCCTGTTGAGCCCTGGCCGGTTTGGCTCGGTGGATAGAGCGTCGGCCTGCGGACTGAAAGGTACCGGGTTCGATTCCTGCCAAGGACACATGCCCAGGTTGCAGGCTTGATCCCCAGTAGGGGGCGTGCAGAAAGCAGCCAATCAATGATTCTCTCTCATCATTGATGTTTCTATCTCTTCCTCCCTCTCTCTTAAATCAATAAAGAAATATATTTTTTAAAAAAGATATCCTGTTGATTATTACTTTAAAAAGATAGAATTGAAAGAAAAATATGATACTGATTTAAAAGTTGGGGAAATTGATATAACAGTTGACTTTTTACCTCAAGCAAATATTATTTAATTGGAAAACTTCATGAACCTCCACTGTTTAAAAATGTTTTGTGCATTTTAATATATATTATTTAGTTGTCAGTTGTCTATTTAGTAAGAACAATACCATAAAACTATGAAAAGAAAATTGTGCATAGAAGTTTAGAGATTGGGCTCTGAAATAAAATATCATAGGTTTGAATCCTTACTCCCTGACTTATGAGTTTTATGACCTTGCTAAGTCTTTCAAACCTTGGTTTCTTTATCTAGTACATGATGATAATAGTGCCTGCCTCATATGGTTGCTCTAAAATGTGTGATATGTAAGAAGTGTTCAGTAAATGTTACTACATGTTTTAATAACACCAATTCAACAATAAAAGACTTAGGAATAAATTTAACCAAAGAGGTGAAAGACCTGTACACAAAAATCTATAAGACATTGATTAAAGAAATTGAAGAAGACACAAATAAATGGAAAGATATATCATGTTTGTGGATTGGAAGAATTAATATTGTTAAAATGATTTCAGACTATACTACAAAGCCACAGTCAACTAATGTTTGACAATGGAGCCAAGAATATTCAGTGGAGAAAAGGTAGTCTTTTAATAAATATTTTGGGAAAATTGGGTATTCACATGTGATAGAATGAAACTAAGTCCTGTTTACACCACTTGCAAATAATTAACTTGAAATGATTGAAGACTTAAATATAAGACCTGAAACCATAAAACTCCTAGAAGAAAACATAGGGAAAGAGCTCCTTGACATTGGTCTTGGAGGTGATTTTTTTTATACGACACCAAAAGCACAAGCAACAAAAGCAAAAATTAACAAGTGAGACTATCAAACTAAGTACTTTTTGTATAGTAAAAGAAACAATCAGAATGAAGAGGCAACCTATGGAATAGGAGATAATAGTTGCAAACCATCTGGTAAGTTAATAACCAAAATATATAAGAGACTTACGGAATAGGAGATAATAGTTGCAAACCATCTATCTGGTAAGTTAATAACCAAAATATATAAGAGACTTAATTCAGTTGCAACAATAATAACCTGATTAAATATTGATCTGATCTGAATAGACTTTTTCCCAAAGAAGACATACAAATGGCCAACAGGTTTATGAAAAGATGCTCAATACCACTAATCATCAGGGAAATGCAAAGCAAAACCACAATTCTGGCATTACTTGATGCCAGTTAGAATGACAATTACCAAAAAGACCAGTGATAGCAGTGTCGGCAATGATGTGAAGAAAAGGGAGCACTGGTGCACTGTTTGTAGGGATATAAATTGGCAGAACTACTATGGAAAACAGTATGGTAGTTACCCCCCAAATTAAAACTAGAACTACCATATGGTCCAGCAAGTCCCACTTCTGATTATATATCCAAAGGAAATGAAATTGCCCTCAGAGGGACAGAACTTCCATGTTCATTGCTACATCATTCACAGTAGTGAAGACATGGAAACAACCTGTCTGTTGACAGATGAATGGATAAAGAATTTGTGATACATCGATTTAGATATGGAACATTATTCAGCCATAAAAAGGAAGGAAATCTGTCATTTGTGACAACATGGATGGATCTTGAAGACATTATGCTAAATGAAATAATTCAGACAGAGAAAGAAAATATTGTATGTTCTCTCTTACATGTAGAATATTTCTTCTAAAAAACCACACTATTAGAAAAAGAGTAGAATGGTAGTTGCCAGGGGCTAAGGGTCAGGAAAAATGGAGAAATATTAGTCAAAGGATACAAACTTTCATAAGATGAATAAGTTTTGGGGATTTAATGCATAATATCATGACTTTTGTTAACTGTTCTATAGTCTATACTCAAAAGTTGCCAAGAAAATATATTTTAAATGTTCTAACAAAAAATATTAAAACACCATTATGTGAAGTAATGGATGTGTTAACTAACCTTATTGTTGTAATAATTTTGTAATATGAATATGTATGAAGTTATTACATTATACACCTTAAACTTACACAATGTTATATGTCAACAAAACTGGGAAAAATAATAACTCAAAATTCCCTCCACATCTTAATCATTGACTCCCCACCTTCTTTTTGTATTCTCTTCATTCTTGTATGTACCTTTGTATTCAAGTAGAGTCAAGATATAGCTAATATTTTATGTATAGTATTTTTAAATCTAGCACTGTTTTATACGGACATTCCTGTATTTGCTCAGATGCACATTTTTGTCTTATTTTTATGGTAATATTCTATTGTAGTGTGATATACACATATAAATATTTATAAATAAACTAGAGGCCCAGTGCACGAAATTCATGCATGGGGGCGTTCCCTCAGCCCGGCCTGCACCCTCTTGAAATCTGAGATCCCTTGGGGGCTGTCTGACTGCCGATTTAGACCCAATCCCTGCGGATCAGGCCTAAACCGGCAGTCGGACATCCCTCTCGCAATCCAGGACCACTGGCCCCTAACTGCTCGCCTGCCTGCCTGATTGCCCCTAACCCTTCTGCCTGCCTGCCTGACCACCCCTAACCACCTCTGCCTGCCTGATTGCCCTAACCACCTCTGCCTGCCTGATTGCCCCTAAGCACTCTGCCTGTCTCCCTGATCGCCCCCAATTGCTCACCTGCCTGTCTGATTGCCCCTAACCGCTCGCTGGGGGGGCTGCCAGCCTGGGTGAGGGTCGTGGTCGTTCTGGTCTCTAGTTGTTCCGCCATTTCGGCTGCTGGGCTTTTATTATATAGGATGACTTTTCCCTATCCTATGTAATAAAGAGCTAATATGCTAATTAGAGCGGATGGTGGAACGACCTTCTGGAACAACCTTCTGGAATGACCAGTGGGTGGGGTGTGGGACTGCGAGGCAGCTGGGGCTGCAAGGGCCAAGCCCCTTGCACGAATTTCATGCTTTGGGCCTCTAGTCTATAATAATAAAGACGTAATATGCAAACTGACCGAACGACTGAACAGCAGAACGACTGGACAACCTTCTGGACGACCATGCTATGACACGCACTGGCTCCAGGCCAGCCAAGATGGGTACGATGCGATTGGTCAGCGGGGCCCCCGCCATCGCCCCAAAATTGCCCCACAGAGGAAGGCCCAGGCTACCTTCTGTGGGGCGATCGATGCAGGGGCTCCGCAATAGATCACCCCAAAGAGGGAGGCCCAGACCACCAGCCGGCAGGGCGATCGATGGTGGGGGGGGCTCCACAATCGCCCCAGAGAGGGAGGCCCAGGCCACCCCCTGTGCGGCAATCAATCATGGAGCCCCAGCCGCGTGGGCAGGACCTACCTCTTTGGGGCAATCCATCATGGAGCCCTGGCTGGGTGGGCCTCTTTGGGGTGATCGATCGCGGGGCTCCCAGACTGTGAGAGGGCACAGGCCAGGCTGAGGGACTACCCCCCGCCCCCCCCCAAGTGCACGAATTTCGTGCACCAGGCCTCTAGTTATTCATATTGCTCAAAGTTCTATTATGGGTGTCTTTAGTTTTATGACCCTATTTACATAAGCTATAGCTAGAAGAATTTTACCAATTTCCAGTGCTACTAGAAATAGAAGGTAAATTGTATCTCCTGCAACTTACGGCATTATTTTATATTTTTTTTTCTTTTTTAATTTGGGCACAAAATAGCAACTTATAGTTGCTTTCATGGGTATTTACTTAACTCTTATTATTACTAATATTATGGATTTATATGAAGATATTAAATACAAATACTTTAGCTTGTTTTCAGTAATATGAAGTTTTTTATATTTTTCTAAGTTTTCCAAGTAATTTGGTAATTATAATTCATGCCATTGTTCTAAAATTTTCCATTGTTTCTTATCTAGTTTTTTTATTGACCTAAATTTTAATCATTTATTTGCATGATAGGCTGATCATGTAGAACCCTACATGGTGAGGTAAAAGTAGGTTTACATTGTTCATATGGAAGATAATACAGTAATTAATAAATAATAATATAAGAACAAACTGTATTTTGCATACTCACAACTATGAAACTACTTTTGCCCCACCCTATACAGTAGAACCTAGGTTCTGGAACTTAATTTGTTCTGGAAGGCTGTTCGAGACGCTTTCACATTTTGATTTCTTTTAATTAAAAAACAAACTCTTGGAGGTTTATTTTAAAATAAAGTTATAATTTGTTTAGTTTAGGGTACGGTGCTAATTTGTTTGAAAACTGAATCATTTTTTCCCCACTAGAAATAATGTAAGTTGAATCAACCCATTCCAGACCCCCAAATGATTCCCTGTTTTTACCTTTCTTTTTTACAGTACATGTCTAATATACTGTTTATAAATATAGACTTCTTTTCTTAAGTTTATCAGACCACACGCTACTAGCCTTAAATGAATTTTTCATATATCACTGCCTCTGAAATGCTATCACCTGCTACTTTTAGTTTATCCAATCAACAACAGTTTTTCTGCCTATTCATTTGCCTGTGATTGTTGATTTGTGAGCACTTTCACACCCTTAGCAACATTAGCATTTTTGATGCCTCTTTATGTTTTAAAATTGTGCTAATCTTCCATTTCTGCCAGCAACAAAAGCTTTCTGTCTTTTGTTTACTTATAGCCTGAGAGATGCTTTTTGTCATGCTGAGGTATCAGCAGGAAGGGTTGTCAGGTTGAAAACTGAAGTTTTGGTCAACAACTGAGACATTTTTTCTATGAACAACTTGGTAGAGAACCAAATTGTTTGAGATGGGAGACATTGGAGAAACGAGATTTGACTGTATAAGGAAATCTCACAAGTTGTTTTTTTCACATTTTGATTTCTTTTAATTAAAAAACAAATTCTTGGAGGTTTGTTTTAAAATAAAATTATAATTCGTATAGTTTAGGATAGGGTGCTAATAAAGAATTTGAGAGAATTGGAGAAATTGTCAAAATCATGTATCTAGAAAAAAACATGGTTTATGTGCAATTTTCACTATTGTAATCTATGAAATTTTATGTGCATTGTGATTATTATTGCTATAGAAAAAATACTAATAATTACCTTGTGTTTTTCTTGGTAGATGGTGTATTGTTCTCTGACAGATTTTCAGAAAGCTGTCTATCAGACAGTATTAGAAACAGAAGATGTGACTTTGATACTTCGATCTTCTGAGCCATGTACCTGCAGCAGTGGTCGAAAAAGGAGAAATTGTTGTTATAAGGCAAGCATTTCAGTTTGATATCTTTACTATCCTGTTTTGATTACATAGTACTCTATTGTAAGTAGCAGCTTTCCTTTCCTTTACTTTAGAAGCCATCCTATATAATAAAAGCCTAATATGCAAATCGACCCAACAGCGGAATGACCGGTCGCTATGACACGCACTGACCACCAGGGGGAAGACGCTCAACGCAGGAGCTTCCCCCAGCTTGCAGGCTCCAGGCCAGCCAAGGCAGGTGCCAGCAGGGGCCCCCCTATTGCCCCGCTGGTCACTCCGTAGAGGGAGGCTACCGGTAGCAGCAGTGGGGCGATTGGAGGTTGGGCTGGTGAGTGGGCAGTGCCAGGCCGGCCAAGGCGGGAGCCAGTCGGGGCCCCCTGATTGCCCTGCCGGTCGCCCTGTGAGGGAGGCAACTGGTGGGGGGTGGGGCCAGCGAGCAGGTGGCGCCAGGCCGACTAAGGCAGGTGCCAGCAGGGGCCCCCTGATTGCTCTGCTGGTCGCCCCACAGATTGGCCCTGATCTCCAGCCAGGACTAGGGACCCTACCCATGCACGATTTTGTGCACCGGGCATCTAGTCTATCTACACTAATAAAAGAGAAACATGGTAATTGGCGTACGACCGCTACCCTTCCCATTGGCTAATCAGCATATCCTTATGCAAATTAACTGTCAGCCAAGATGGCGGCCGGCAGCCAGGCAGCTGGAAGCGAGCAGGGAGGCTCGCTTGCTCCAGTGACTGCAGACTCCAACGTTCCCCACCTGACTTGCCG